TCCTTCAATGTCCTTCGGGGTATTTGTGGGGGGAGGGAGTCAAAATCAATTTAGCAACCATGATTGCAAACTTAAAAGTTCTACCTGTTTTCTGAGTCCATGCACAAAGCACATAAGATCAAAGACATTCACATAAAAACGGGTGAGATTTTGATCATACAGTCAGAAACTTTTTGACACACACACACACCCTCTTTCTCTCTCTCTCTCTCACACACACACACACACACACACACACACACCACTGCAGATGCCTCTGAAGTTCCTATGATTTCAGGCTGTTTTACATTATTTAACTGGGAGCACAATTATAAATTATAACAATCTTTCCCTGGAGAGATACTATTCTGTGGCAGCTGCAATTAGATAATGTCTGTTTTCAAGTATTCTGGGTAAATAAAATTGTAGCTGCCTAGTTTATCAAGTAACTCTGCTTCTTCCTGCAGTGGTTTGGAAAAAAACAAAAGAAGAAGAAACGAGCATTTTTTTTTAAAGAAACAAATGAATAATGCAACAAAAAAAGAGGACTGCTGAATACTCTTTATGTACTACTGGAACTCTCTTGTCTCTTAGTAACCTTCAAGTGAGTGAAGGTGACAATTTTTGAATCCAGGTACCTCAAATACGTTAACAAATGTGTCCAAAAACCATTAATCCCACAAGATTGAAATTTCAAGGATCTTTAGATCAGTTGCTTTGGCAAAGTTGTGGCCACTGCAGTGCCACCCTGCCACCCTGTGATACTGCCTTTTTTTAGCAGCGTCACATGATCATAATTTTCGAAGCTCCCTGCCAACTTCCCACAAGTGAATTCAATAGGGAAATTGGCAGGAGATCAGAACTCGCTCCTGCTCTCGCTGCTTTTTTAAAAAAACCAATGGTGGTTAATCTGTTCCTCTGTTTAGATAAGGGAATATCTCTGAAGCGATGTTCCAAGGGGTCAGGGGTTGCCTGCTCAAATCGAAACCTGATTATAAAACGTGGGAGAGGGAATTATGCAAACTCCTACTAACTGTCAAACTAACTCTAATACAAGAGGCTTAATTTTTCTCCAATGTCTTGAGAACTTGGTCCAGGCTGGGGTTTCCAGATCTGGATTGCAAAGACCACCAGATAATCACAAAGAGATACAGACAATAAGCCCCTGCTGTACTATGACGGTCATCCAGATTTTGACTGCCCAGATCAGGTTCATTCAGTTGCATGGACATGAGAAAGGTTCACAAATATCTGTTGCTTGTTTACAAGGATTATTGAACCCTGGGATTTAAACCTGAGTTCTGGTAAACATTAACCTCTGTTTCTTTTTCACAATTTGGAGCACTTCCGCCTAGCTACCAGCTCCCTCCTTGAAACTTCCAGAACAGATTTCCACATCGACACAAATGTCCCTCCCTTCTGTTCTGGCAAAGTTGGAGAACGATTCCTGAGCTAATCAGCACTTTCTCCAGCTTCCCAAAAGAGAGGAGTGAAAAGGTTACTCTCCAAGTGCGAAACCTCTGTCCTTGCCTCACCCCCACATTTGGTCTTGCAGTGAAGAAAAAAAGAAAAGAAAAAAGCTGGTCTGCCTGCAAAGAGCCTGGTAGAAGGAGACCGAGGAGCTCCAAGGATATCACAGTTGGGAGGTGGAGATTGGCCAGACATCCTGCCAATTATCGCCTGATCCACCTCCAAGACCCACTTAGCTTTAGTTCAGCTGCCAATTTGAGCAACGGTTGGCTTGGCTGCTTGAGGCCAGCAAGGTTTTAATGCTGAGGCATGGTGCCAGTCCAAAGGAGTCCCCGTGGAGGAAGGCCTTGGAAACGCCCATTTTGTGAAGAGTTCTGGATAGGTTTTTGAAATTTCAAATAATCTCTCAGCCATGAATCGGGTCATTAGCAACCATTCAACATTATGACAGACAACCCCTCTCCCAAAAACTATTTTTGACCCACCTTTGAAGATCCAACATCTTCCCCACCCACAGTCACCTGACTGCATTTTGGGTGCTTGGCAACCAGCCCACATTTACAGCTATCTGCAGCACCCCAAGTCACATGGCCATGACTTAGGACCATTTTGCCAGCGCTTCAAGTTTCTGGCAAAAACCACCCCAGAGTGAATATTTATGACCACTGCAGAAAGTTATAAAATCCGGTCCAATCACACGGTGCCCCACTTAACAACTGCCACTAATTGTGACAATTGCAGGTCATAACTTTAGGACTACCTGTATTGCATCACACTCACATCAGAAGCCCTGAGATGCTTCCGGATTGAGAGAATTAGCTGGTGACATCACTGCTTCCCAGGGGACACCCAGTTGGGGATCTCCTTTCATGTCCCCAGCAGGAGCTGTAGCGAAGGACGGAAGCTCACCCCACCCCATGGCAGCACACGGCTCTTGAACGCTAACCTCCAACCTAGCATCCTCACCACAAGAGCCAGCGTGCTCCAGGACTACCTGTAAAGAGAAGCAGACTGTTGTAGTTATTCTCAAGTGCTGACCTCAAGCTTGAGAGATCCTGGTTCAAGTCCATCCTCTGCCAGGGGACAACTTTAGGCAAGTCAGTTTTGCTCCACCCAGCCTCCCTTACAGGGTTGTTGTTAAGAGGCAAAATGGGATAAGAGATTTATATGTCACTCCTGGAAGAAAGGCAGGCTGTAAATCAAACAAATAATAAATAACTTGATTTGTTCCCGTCCCCTCTTAACCTTTGAGTATGCCTCTCCTTTTACCCCCCTCAACTTCACTCAGTGCTCGTTTGTCTTCTGAGGTAACATTCATGCTATACTTCTAGTTCCTCTGCCATGCTGGATGAAACAACCAGCTTGGTTGTAAAAAGAGGGGAGGGAAAGGGTGATTGGCTAGTTAAAATAAAATAAAAAAAAACCCACAGCGTTCAGCTACCTGCAGAAACTGGATTACACAATTGTTCCTGAGGTCTCCTTCTGGGAAGAGCTAACAATTTAGCCAAGGATCTTTACTGCTGTACATCAAACTGCCATTTTGTTCTACTGGCAATAAAAAGGCTTTATCGCCATGGAAAGCTTCACATGCTCAATTTCTGTAGGACCAGTTGGCAACCCTACCCATAACAGAGCTGACAACTAATAAAGCAATAATAAAACTCTATCATAATGTAATAAATGACAGAAACGTGGAGGTGCTGCCAGTAAAGCTACTCCACAGTCAGCCTAAGTCAGCCTAAAAATCTCAAAGTACAGCGTAATTGAGCACAACAGGCACTTTGACAAATAAAATCCCGACAGGGATTCAGCAAATTGCAGGGGCCGGTGCTTAAGCGGTAAAATTGTGGAAAAAGCCTCAGGTGTTTTTCCAGGCAGCATCTGACCAGGGCTGGCTGAATGTGCAACTCTACACCTGCTGTCCTATTCAGCCCCTTTGTGAGCCAAGCCACCTTTGCGATCCCTGGGAAAAGGATCACGGGCTACAATTGAGCAGGTGGATAGGAGAAGCCATCAGTGAGCCAGAATTGAAGTTTTGTCCGGTTTTAATACTTGAAGCATTTGGAAAACCTGCTAATCTTACTCTAGCTTTTGGGCCACAGTCGACTGCGATGGGGCAAACATCAAGATTGTAGGGTTATTTTGTTATTGCTAAGTTGGGGTGGCACAGCTGGCATTTCAAGGTGGAAGAGGGCTGCAAAGAGGAACGACATCAAATATATAGACAAGGCTAGGGTTAGGGGAAGATTCTTGGAGTTGTCTTAAAGGTGGTGGGTGCCTATTTTAGGGATTACAGAACAGCTGACATCTGTCTCCAAGTGGCAGGAAGAACGGCCATCAGCTTTTAACTGTCCTGGTCAGGAGGGGCCTTACAGGCTATAGCAGTGGTGGCGAACCTATGGCACGCGTGCCAGAGGCGGCACTCAGAGCCCTCTCTGTGGGCACATGTGCCATTGCCCCAGCCCTGCTTCCCCCTGCGGCCCCTTCCTCACCAGCAGCCCCCCGGAGGAGAATTGCCCCAAAGCGTGGCCCACACGGAGCAGCGCAGCCAAGGACATGGCAGCCAGGCAGTGGGGACAAGACTCTGCCCTCGCGCCCCATTATGCGCAGTTGATGCTGCAGGGCACGGGTGGAAGGCATGGCTGCCATGGCACTGCTGGGCCACCTGGGCGATCGGTGGGCCATGGAGGCAGTGAGTGGCCCTGCGGGTGGGGGGGCAGTGGGCGGGTCAGGGGGTGAGGGGGCAGAGCTGGCAGGACAAGGGCGAAGCAGGGGCAGGTGGGGGAGCAGAGAGGGGCTAGTTTTGGGGCACTCAGTCTCTAAAAGATTCACCATCACTGGGCTATAGAAACAGTCTTTGGCTGGTGATGGCCTTGAGACTGCAGATTGTCCATCCTTGCTTACTGTAGCCAGATTCAGGATATAGCATAGCCTTACCCTTTACCCTTACACCATTCCAGAGGTATTTTTTCCCCATGATATTTCTCACTTATCTTCATTTTCTTATTTATTGTAATAATTGCGCAGAAAGAACTAATAAGACGGACTCAATAGGTGACAAAAATGCCAGATCCAGTCTAAACATTTGGCTGACTGGATAACCAGCCCTAATAATAATAGAAATATATGAAAACTACAAAAAAAAAATACAACTACCTAAGTTAATCAGTGAACTCTCCAGCAAGACTGAATCTTAGCAATGTTGCTTAATGATAATCAGTGGGATGGGTGGTCCAGCACACATTGAAGTACACCAGGTAATGCAGAGATAAACACAAAGGGAAGTGCAGTAGTTGGAGTTAGCCATCTTAGGCACTCCTTGAGTCACACATGGGAACAGCCTCTGTCTGTACTATTACAACAAGTGCGCTGCACATCGGTCTAGAAACCGAGAAATTGTGATAAATAAATTCAGGGAGACAGTGAAAAGGTATTTCCATTGCAAAAATAACCCAGAGTTCTAGGATTTGGTGTGTTGGCTTTACCTTATTGGCTTTAACTTACTGTTCTTCCTGTCTCTTCCTTCTCGGTCCCTATTTTTTTCCCCTAGAAATTGATGAAGACCGGATCCCCAACCCGCTTCTAAAGGTATATAACACCCCTGCTGTTCTCAGACTTGAACAACCGAGTCAATTTATGCATTTAGCAGAATAATATTGTGATACACGAAAGCCTTTTGGGATGATGATGGGGGAACAGAGTTCGTGTATGAATGTATACACTTCCCATAAAAAAAAATGCTTACTAAGAACTGAAAGTGAAAGAAGAAATTTCAGAATGCCAGAAAGACCAAAGCATGAACTAGTTCCTAGAGTGCCATACACAGAGCCTTCATTAGACTGGGATGAGTTTTACTGTCGATGCTCTAATTAATAAGCTTTAATAATGGGAAAAGCGTTAGTTTTAGGGCTACTTGAAGTCTCCAGATAAACACTAGCTGGCAGCAAAGAAATACAAGAAATCCAGCCCTTTGCTGCCCTCTTGTGGTTGTCTAGATTCTCCCAGCCCTGATCTTGGAGCCTCAATTGTATTTCTGAAATGATGTGCGTTTCTGATTCTGAAGGTACGGGAGGCCAAACCAGACAAAAACCTTATGCTCTTCACCCTATGTTTTCCCCCATTGCTCCATGGAAATGGGGAGAATTATAGACCTCTGCAGGTCGTAAATTTGAAAAAAAGAGAAGGCAAGCAAAGAGGCTTGGGCTGGTTCTATCTAGTTTGTCAAACCAAAAGCATGAGCCCAGAAAATGGTAGCCTTCTATGCACCAGATGATAATGTGCCCATCACAAAGAAGAAGCTGGAATTCCAGATCTTCAAGGACTTTCTTGATTTATTCTTGTTTCATTCTGTAAGTAGCAAGAGCTAGATGCAGCATATAGCTAGAAGATTATACATTGCACCCGAATTTCGGCATTTTATGTCTCTTAGGACTTTCTTTCTCTTTCTTCTCTTTGCAGCCAGGATTGTCAATGTCCCCAAGGCAGAGGAAGAAAGTCTCTCGCACTACTCCCACCATGAAAGGTAACTGGTCTAGAAGCCATGTGGCTGTATTGAAGGATGGAATCCATCGTGGCAACTGCGATGCCTAAGAAGCAGCCAGCAAGGTAGTTGGCTGCTTTCTAACCCTCAGAAGGACTCACTGCTAGATCCAGCAGTTTCTTAGCCCCTCTTGAGATGATAGGGAGGAAGGGGGGGGGTAAGTTTGGAAAGTTTGTCCCACAAGGTGATGCACTTTGGGTTTTCTTCCCACTCTAAATGAGACACGCTCAGCTTTCTTGTATGTCCAAATCACAATCTGACCTCATCCCAATCCCCTATCCTGTTCTCCAAACATGAAGTGATGGTGAGGTGAGTAGTAAGTCAAATGCTTGCCAGCTCTCTGTAGAACAGAGCTTGAAATAATATCTTGTTCCTAAAATGGAAGGTCCCACAGGCTGGTTGTGGGTTTTTGGAAGAATACACCTATCTTTTTTCTTGCTATGTGTGCTATAGCAGACATTGCATCCTGTGATACTCATTAAAAGAGCATAAGATTTCTTTCCGGATGAGTGTCACCACCTTGTGTATAATATACTCCCCATTAGCTTGCAGTATTCAGAACTTGTCAGTCAGTGCTAAGATTCCTTTAGCCTTTCCATGGTTTTGTAAGTTCTTTCCTCCTCCTCTTCCCCACCCACCTCCGTTGCCTCTCCCCCACCTCCCTGTAGCTTTTCATACATCCTGCCTAATCCCTGCCAGGATCATTTTTCATTAATTTTGCATTAAAGCGTTTTATCTCTTTGTATCGGTCCTCTGCATTCTCTCCAATTACCAACCTTCTCCTTGGTCTTTGCCTCTGAAGTGTTGCAGTGCCTCACATAATGCAGGATGCCACTGTCAGGCTGGGATGGGACTGCAGCAGCCACTGCAGAGGAGCGCAGAGATCAGCATTAAAAACCTGTCAGAAGTTTCTAAATTAGAACATGTGAATTCAAGAAAAGGGGAAATTTCACAGTCCAGGAAATAGATACAAGAATTACCATTGACCTTCAAGTTTCAAGGTCAACAAGTGAATGCCTATTAGGGATATTATTAGTCCGAAGCCTAGGTAATAGGAGTGTGGAGAGGAGCAAAGAGTTTCTTACAATGAAATAATCCTCTCCTAGTGATGCATTCCACCTACAGTGGTTTCCACATCATTGTCTTCGGAAACCTGTTAACCATAAGTGTGGCCCAATTTCCCAAATTCTCTGGCCATTAAAAGTATTTGTGAAGCCGAAGTTCACATATCCCAATATCTAAGTGACTGCCACAAAGAAGGGGGATCAATCAATTCTCCAAAGGGTCTGAAAGCAGAACAAAAAGCAATGGATGGAAACTAAGCAAGGAGAGAAGCAACCTAGAACTAAGGAGAAATTTCCTGACAATGAGAACAATTAATCAGTGGAATTGTTTGCCTCTAGAAGTTGTGGGTGCTCCAACACTGGAGGTTTCTAAGAAGAGGTTGGACAATCATTTATTTGAAATGGTATAGGGTTTCCTGCTCGAACAGCAGGTTGGTCTAGGCCAGGGGTAGGCAACCTTGGCTCTTTTATGACTCGTGGACTTCAACTCCCAGAATTCCTGAGCCAGCATGGCTGGCTCAGGAATTCTGGGAGTTGAAGTCCACGAGTCATAAAAGAGCCAAGGTTGCCTACCCCTGGTCTAGAAGATTTCCAAGGTCCCTTTCAACTCTGTTATTCTGTTAAAACTGCAGGCCACTTAAACTGTGTAAGACTAACCAGTAGACATGTTCCTTAATGCATGAGAACAATTTGCCGTTTCCAACAGAGACTTTAAAAAAGGAAACATTTCCATAAGAATCAGTTCATCCCGAGATCACAGTTTTCATGAGTTCTGCCCATCCCTACTTTTCAGAGCTCCAGCTGATGGTTGAACACCATCTTTGCAAGCAGCAGGGAGGTGAAGAAGAAGAAGATGGCGCTGAGGCACAGGAGTCACACAGTCCAAGTTGCTGCCCTCATGCCAGCACAGAACCTGCCCACAGTCCCGAGAGTTGCCCTTTGGCCCAAGCCCACGTCCAGCTGGAGTCCCAGGAAGAACCACACCCTGGCCTTGAAGAACGTGAGTATGATCCTATCAGTGTAGGTCAAGCCAGGTTTCCTTGGAGCATCTCACTTGTACCCACTTCCAATGAAGAAGGAAGCCTGTCTAGATTGCTTCAAGACTTGACCCCCCCCACCTGACCACATGTGTGCTTTCTTTGAAGAAAATGATAGTCCAAACCTAATCAGGAACCTGAAGCTCTCCAGATGTTACTGGATCACAGTTCCCAACAGGCCTGGCCTGCGTGGTGACATCTGAGGGCCACAGATTCTCTACTTCTACCAAAATGTAGAAAAAGATTCCCTTAAATTCACCTTTCTTTCATGACGGAATTTCATTTTCCATGGAACAGGAAAATACTTAATAAAACAGTCCCCGAAGCATGCTGCTTTTGGAAAATATGTTTTTTTTTTGTTTATCCAGTACATTCTCTTTTCATTAATATCCTAACCTTATAAGGCCTTCCCAAGCCATTAGCTCTGGTGAGGGAGGATCAGGGACCCAAGTTCAAGCTTTGATATTTTTTTTTCCCCCTCAGAAACAAAGGATCATGATCGAGAGCAGTAACAAAAAAAAATGGACTCAGCAACACCAACGGGACAATAGGAATGCAGAGCAGGATTTGATCTGGGCTAATTTCATGCCCTAATCCGTGCCGTCCAGGCTGACACACACATTAGACCAAACACATTCTTCAGAATTTGCACTTCTTTGAATATGACCCTGCCCAATTTGACTCAAAGGAGAAAATGCTCTTCAAAGCTGTACCTATTTCAAAGGAAATGAAAGCTGTGCTAGATTTTTAAATGCATATGTACTTGTCTGTGCTTGTATATGGTGCATATCTGTGTGTCTAAATAGAGATTTTATGCACATTTTAAAAAATTGCCAATCCAAGGCAGGACACACTAGAACTATTATATACATGGCAAGTTAGCGCAGGCCCAGAAAATAATTGATCTGTCCCAAACTCATTTTAGGAGGTCGCAGTGTCCAGATTTCTTCAATTTCCAGTGGTGACCTAAATTATTATATGTCCTTTATCCCCTCAAATTGAAGAGGAACAGCTGAGAAATAGGCCTTTCCTACCTGTAGAATCCAACTCTTATCATTCAAGAAATATAACCTTAGCTCTGCATATTGACACAATTCTACAATAAGGATTTGTGGGTTCCAACTTGAACTTCTGGCTTCTTTCCCTAATGGCCAGGCAGGTGTAGTTGCTGCACATTTTAGTTTAGCAGCCTGGGAGAGCCACAAGTTCTCCATCACCAATATAAGCCAGTGTTTCATCAAGATGCATGTTAAAAGTGTTGCTGCAGATTCCTTTGATCAACTGTGCAGGTGGCAGAGCACAAAATCCTTCCTGCTATTTTTGCTTAATAAGTCAGGGAAACAGCGGCCTCTAGTGGCCAAAGGCTAATGTGATAACTAGGTTGTTTTTGGCTATAGCAGTGATGGCGGACCTTTTAGAGACCTAGTGCCCAAAACCTGGCCCCACCCACGCTCCACCCCCTGCCCTGCCCCCACTCTGCCCCCCCCATTCCCCACCCCACCTGCCCACAGGATCACTCACCGCCTCAAGGGCCCGCCGCAGATCGCCCAGGCAGTCCAGCAGCGCTATGGCGGCCACACCCTCTACCCACGTCCTGCAGCATCAACTGCATAATGGGGTGTGAGGGCAGAGTCTTGTTTACGCTGCCTGGCTGCCATGTCCTTGGCTGCGCTGCTCCATGTGGGACGCTCAAGGGCGACTCTCCTTCAGTGGGACTGCTGGAGAGGAGGGGGTCATGGGGGAGGCAAGACTGGGGCAACGGCACGTGTGCCCACAGAGAGGGCTCCCGAGTGCCGCCTCTGGCACCCGTGCCATAGGTTCACCACCACTTGGCTATAGTATACATTTGTGGGTAAAATTCAAGCTATTCTAAGCTCATCCATCACCCCAGGTGTTTGCCCCCAAGAGGGGAAAATTTTGATCCGTTGCTATCCCAATAAATAATGCATTAAGATTTTTTTTTTTAATCAGCCTGGAATCCCTTACCAAATTCTCACAGCGTGAGATTGCTTTACGATGTGGTGTCCCTGGATGATGAGCATCAAACAATCGCAGCAGCAGCAATAGCAATAGCATACCAATAGCTTCTAGATTTATATACCATCCCACAGTGGTTAAACAATGTAAGCATTATTTGCATATTGTCCCCAACAATCTGGGTCCTCTTTGTATCAACCTTGGAAGGATGGAAGGCTGAGCCAACCTTGAGCTCCATCAGGATCAACCTCCAGACTATGGGCAGAGTTTGCCTGCAATACTGCACTTTAGCCATTGCACCACCAGAGCAGCACATCCTTTGACCTTTCAAAGGGGAAAGTTCAGGGAGAAATATCAGTCACTGAAAGAATACAGTCTGGGCTTATCCAGTCATAGAGGTAGGCTAAGTAACTTTCTGGTGCATCGGTAACCTAGGGGTGTCTGTGCCCCAGCTATTCACGCATCTTGTAAGAGACCCACATCTTTGAAGAAAGCACATCATTGGCGGGAATGTCAGCAGTTTGCAGACACGCAATACTTTCTTGCATTTCACAGGATGTAATCAGGCGCCACTGTATTTCTTTCAGTCACCCACAATTCATATATAGAAACACCTACTCAAACAAAAAGAATTGATCGGGGTGTGTGATCATTTGACTTTTTGAAATGATTAAATGGACTTTCAGCATCGAAAAGTGATGTGTGCATGAGAAAAGGAGAGAGTATGTTTGTTTTATTCATTCATTCATTCATTCAGTGATTAGGGCTTGCATTTGTGTTCTCCTTTTCTCCAGGAAATATATATGGCACTTCCTTCCCATTCAGTTTTATTGTCAAAAATGACCCTGTGAGGTGGATTAGTCATTAAATGGGATTCATGACTAAGTGGGCATTTGAGCCTGGATCCATCCAGCACTTTGATCACACCAGATTGATGCAATGTCATTACAATGGATGAGTAGGTGATTGATGCAATGTCATTACAGTGGATGAGCAGGTGGGTGAGTAGGTTGCTGTGCATACTGAGGCAAATGCATTTTTCCTGTAGTCTATGTGTCTTGCCTCTGCACCTCCAGATAAATCGAAAACTTTTTTTAAAAAATGTCCCTTTGAATTAGTCTTGACTCCTGGTCAGTGCCTGGACAGGTCTCTGCAGTTTTCCTCACCAGGTTTTTCAAACATTGTTTGCCCTTGCCTGCTTTCCAGGGCTGAGAGGGAGTGACTGGCCCAAGGTCACCCAGCTGGCTTCATGCCTAAGGCAGGACTAGAACTTACAGTCTTTCGGTTTCTAGCCTGGCGCCTTAACCGCTACACTAAGCTGGCTCTTTTCAAAGGCTTAGGCAGACCATTTTAATTTAGAACTCAACAAATTCTGGATGACTGAATTGCAAATGAAGAGACTTTAAGGAGTGGTAGGAAAGATGGATTATTTTTTTTTACACTGCCATGTGGATGAATGAGCAACATGGGGAATCTAATTGATATGAATGATGGTTGCCAAAAAATTAAGCAGAAAGATTTAATCTAGATTAAAAAGCCTGCAGCACAAGACTGTACAAATCCATTATAAGGTCAGAAATGCAAATAAGAAACTCGTAATCATGTTGATTCTTATAATTTAATGTGACAGCATTCTGCAGTTAGGCTACGAGACATAAGGCAGAGAGTGTAAAATGTTGATTTGCTTGAGGCAGGAAAAAAATTGGGCTGGCTCTGCAGAACACAACCTGGGTCAGAAACTGTTGGCTGCATACAGTAAAAGAAAACACAAAAATAAAGTCTCCTATAAAGATTAGCACATTGCTTTTTTGCAATAGGATGAAAGAAGTTCAGAGATGTTGCCATTCAGCTAAAAATAAAAAGACTGACATTTGTGCCTTATGGTGTTGCTTGCAGAGCAACTCCAGGAAATAAGTGGAGAGATTTACTGCAGATACCTTAATAGTTGCACCTTGTCTATCATTACCTTTCTTATTTTTCCCTCTCCCTCTTAACGTGGTTTAAAAAAAAACAAACCCTCATAGTTCAGCTCTCCCATAGCTTCTAGGTCTATTGCCCATTACTCGTTCCACTGATCCAGATCAGTGCACTCTTTTTTATTCAGAGCTCCAAACTTTATACATCATCCTTTCATCTACAGCTCCTATCCCAAATTTTCACAAACAGAAAGCACGCTGCATGGCTTTCCCAAAACAAATCACGACAATTTTCCTTCAAAGTAGTTTCACTCATATGGGGGCATCCATAGGTGGACTTTCCCCCTTCTGAGACTAGAATGTTTGTGAGGATTCTCCTGCAAGACTAACCTGGCATATTCTCACCTCCAATAACGATTGGCATAAATACCAATGAAGGAGGATATTTGTAGCTCAGGGTTGAAATGAGGGGTCCTTGGCTCTCTCTGAGCTTGCTTGTTTTCTTGCAGACGTTTCATTACCCTAACTAGGTGACGTCATCAGTGCTCAGCGAGCAAGATCAGAGAGCCCCAAGGACATAGATACAAGTTGGATTGGGAGGAAGATGATGGGCAGGCCTGATGACGGGGTCCTGAAGAGCTCTCACTTGTTCTTCAGGTCCCACTTGCTAATCCCAGAGAACTGTCAGGGAAAAGTGACACCTGCAGCAGTACCTAAGGAGAAGTAGTTTTAAGAAAAGGGCTAATTAAAAAAACAGCTCGTAGTACAAGGAGCCCAGAGGGAAAGAAGGCAAGCAATTTTACAGCTTACGTGCTCTTAGCAAGATTTTTCTGTTGCACTGGCACAGGCGCAAGAGAGGCACAAAACGGGAACGTCCTCTTGTTTCTCAAATACTATTAATGGTATAAAAATGCAAGCTGCAGCCATTTATGTTGCTTACAGAAACGTGTCTTAGTTTTTTGTTTTCTTTTCCCAAACTGATTGGCACCATTGCTACTTTGGCACAGGAGTCCTGATAAAGTATAAAAACTCTCTCCCTGGTATTTGCAGCCACCAAAAATGTAAAGTCATCCCCAAAGCAGGTATACTTAAAGAACATTTAGCCTCGATTCCTCCCCCAACTCTTCCCTCTGTTTCTTTTCCCCATCCAAGGATTTGGCAAACTAGGAAGGAACAGAGAAGTCCTTGATAAATTGCAGCTCTGCAGCTGATAGGCGGAAAGACGCACAAATGAGTGTATAAATGCTTAGGTTGAAATATAATTATCACCACCAGTACTACTAGTATACTAGTACTATACATATCTACAAAGAAAGAAAGAAAGCTCAGATCAAAAACTTTATTCTAAAAAGTGACTCCTTTCATGCACAATTTAATTTAAAAAAAACCCCACCAGTTTTACTCTCTGCTCTTCCTTTTCAAAGTTGGAAAGCTCTACCCACTGAAGCATTTCTCCCTAAAGAAACTGTAATGCTGAATTATTTGGAACTCTGATCTCTCTGCTGAGTATGGGAAGTCAATTATTCTGCTAATGTATACAGACCTATCTGTTGTAAGCCACCTTTGTTCTGAAAGGCAGCATCTAGATCAGTGGTTCCCAAACTTTTCTATACTCCGCACCCCTAGAACGCTTCTGATATATTCTCGCACCCCTTACAAAAGTTCAAAATAATGGCAACAAATTATGCATATACACTATAATTTTGAAAACCCAAGTTTTCACACACCCTGGAATATCGTCTTGCACACCCATGGGGTGCAAGCACCCCTGGTTGGGAACCCCTGATCTAGATACTTTTAATATATAATGTTACATATGAGGATGCTTTTCTGATTTGTTTTGTTAGCATTTGCACTCTTGAAGTGCTCCCAGATTCTTTTTGCTCTTTTTTGGGGGAAGGGGGCAGCCTCACAAAGGTGTACACGCCTGAAATTGCCTCGGCCCATTGACATAAATGAAGACGGTGCGTCCCGCTCAAAGTCTGAGCATCTGTGAGCTGGTGTGGATTGATTTCTTTGGGTTTATTTCCAGTTACTTGTAGGGCTGCCTCCTCAATCAGTTTAGGGATGGGGGTTGATGGTCACGGCCCACTAGTGACGGGTTTTAATTGCTGTCGAGCCAAACCCCTTTCAACAGCTACAAGCCGTCTGGAATCCATCTATACATACCTACCCAGGATGTTATGCATAACAGTGCCTGCTTATTAACAGTACATCTCATTTGGCATTTCTTTTCTCAGTGACCTAGTTTTGGAGAGATTCCCCAGGAACTCCTGTCTTGACAGCCTTCTGGTCTTGTCTTGTTTTGTCTTGTCTTGTGTGTTTTTTTCCCCTTTGAATTTTATATCCTTTCGTGTTATCTACCAAGATTGCCATTTTCCGGTTTCTCCGCTCCTCCTGATCCCTTGCAAATGAAAGAAAAATCCTTCCCCCCCTGCCCTTTTCTGCTGATCTCCCCATGGATTTTTTGGAGCATTTTTTTTGTTTTGAACAGAGGGAAGAGTCACAGAAGCTTGCGGTGCAGAGAGCTCTGACAAAACAAGGTCTTACTTGTGCTCAGAAAAGCAAGGGATTCATATATCACTGGAGAACTCCGTGGAAAAGGACAAGCTGCCCAAGGAGTAGGTATAACCACGTATCAGAGTGGCGGTGGGTAAGGGTGGTTACATTCAGACATTTCACTAAACCAGGGGTAGGCAAGCTTGGCTCTTTTATGACTCGTGGACTTCAACTCCCAGAATTCCTGGGCCAGCTGGCTCAGGAATTCTGGGAGTTGAAGTCCACGAGTCATAAAAGAGCCAAGCTTGCCTACCCCTGCACTAAACTATACTTGGGTTTTTTTGTTGAACAAACTATTCTACATGAACAAAATAATTGCAAGTTGATTTGCCAAACTCTGAGGAACGGGACATCCCTAACTTTTGACTTGATCATGGAGAAAATCCATGTGGTGGCCAAGAGTCAAAAATTACTTCATGGCATGTAATCACATAATTAATAATCAATCAGTCTTGACTTGTATCTCTGATTAGAGATACAGGACACAAAAGCAAGCAGGAATAAGCCAGGGAATGACAAACAAAGCATTCTCATGTACATATCCCACAAAGCCAAAGTGCCACGTAGTAAGCCAACAAGAGTTCAGTCTGGAACTGTGGTTTACTATCTTAAAACTAACCATAGTTTACTCATTGACCATCCTCCCTGATTCACCCAGCACATTAAATTAAAAACAAAATGCATCGTGGCTCAATTCAGCCTTAGTTCCGAATTGAATGGGCCAAAAAGAAAGTATTTGGTCTTTTCTAAAACTATTCTACCTATTTTCCCAACGTGTTCCTTGAAACCTTGAAAATAGCAGCTCTTTTGTCTTTGGAGATGAAAATAGGCTGAGCATCTTATTCCACAGAAACACAGAGATGAAAATCCCACTTTGAGAAAATTCACCTTTTTAGTGCCGACTCGTGACTGTGGCTTTTCAGATATTTGGTGGCTTCTGTGGGCTCTTCTTGAGCTAAACCTCCCTACTTTCTTTTATGCCAGCCAATGACAACCTCCTACCATGTTTAGCTATTCAAATTGGTCTTCATATTTTTTTTCTTGGAAAGTCATCTTAAAATGATGGGATGGACTGTTCACTGCTGTACAGATTCTTTGCAATTTCTCTTTGGCTTAGTATATCAATCCTCTTCCTGCCCCAGATAGTACCGACTTTAGCTGTAGCAGCACCCATTTACTCAGGAGGAGTAGTAAAATCCATTCTCTTTGCCATCTAGTACCAGTAATTCACGATGTTAACTTCTGAACCTGGCATGCTCATGAGAACTCAGGGGGGGGGGGGAGGAGCAAAAGTTTTGACAGACTCCTTGGCACCCACAGCAGGGAAAGTCTGTATGATGGCTAATGGAGAGTGACAATTATATTGCAATCATGTTAGGATACTCTTCTACCAGGATACTGGTAGAAGAGTTATATTGTGTAGCCACTCTTTTATCCTACAGTGACTGACTACATCTTACAGGAATAAATGAATATAACAGAGCTTAAAGAAATAGAAAATATTTCCCTCCCGGCAATCAATCACTTTTCTTGGAAAAATGTTAATCTACCAACCCTCCCAGTTTCACACTCTCCCCTTTTATGGAAGGCGTTTTGGTAACTAACACCCAAAAGGCTTCAATAAACTTTTGCTGGCTCTATGATGCTTCAGTTTATGCATAGGTTGGGCAACCAGCAGTGCGACAAAATTGTGTTCAGTCGTGCACAAAGGAGTCAGACCATAGGGCAATACCCCACCAAGATAAGTTCTTGATACATTTTCAGAAATCGAGTTGCAACAAAATGGCCCCCGCGATTGAATAAGTCCAACATTGTGTCTCGCTGGGCAGCGAGTTGAACTGAAACAGTCCCGGCTCTTCATAATAATTACAGTATTATCTCCTGCTTGTTAATTCTAAACTAGCACTGGAGATACCAGGGCTTCTGCATTCCTTGGATGCAGGGTGAGGAAACTGACATCTGCAAGCTTGGAAAGAATAAAACCCTGAACTTGCTATGTGTCAGCCAGCAAAAGATGCATCCCTTTCCTTTGGGGAACACCCATGATTGTGGCAGTCAATTCTCCTTTCAGCTTGGGTTAGTTCAACTCCAATCAAGCCAGTGAAAGAGAACATCCTACTGCTGGGCTCAGAGCTGAGCCTAATCCGAACTGAAACTTGCTTATTTCTCAAATGCAGGGAGGGGGTTAGAGAAGCGGGCTTCATAGGAGGCCTTTCATGGGGCCCTTCGAACCTGATACCCGACCTAAAGCTGCATACATCTCATAAAACTCTCCCCAAATCCTTGGAGCAGCAATAAAGCTGGCTCCAAGATGCCAGTGAAATTCAGGGCAACCCTCTGACCTCTTGAGGCAATGGTCTTCAAACTTGGTCCTTTTATGACTTGTGGACTTCAACTCCCAGAATTCCTCAGCCAGCCGTGCCTGGCTGAGGAATTCTGGGAGTTGAAGTCCACAAGTCATAAAAGGGCCAAGTTTGAAGACCCCTGTCTTGAGGGAAAGGAACAAGAGATGGCAGTCTTATTGGATACACCTTAGACCAGGGGTGTCAAACTCAATTTCATTGAGGGCCACATCAGCATTGCGGTTGCCCTCGGGGGGGGGCTGGGGGTGTGTGGCCAGGGTGGGTGCGACCTACTGGGTGGGCATGGTTGGAGTGGGTGTGGCCTACTGGGTGGGCGTGGCCAGCTCTACATTCGCATCAAGGGTGCCTGTTGGGGCCTGGGCAGGAGTGAGACAGATCTGAGGGTCTCTGGCAGAAAGGGGTGGGACCAGGGCAGAACCCATCAAGCCGGATATGTGAAGTAGGTGAGGGCCATTTGCTGGCCACTTCCAGGCGATGGTGCATTTCTTCATTCCTCACAAAGGGTGACACCTCCCCAGCATGCACCCAGGGTGTGGGGCCGATGCGGCAGGGGCTGGTTCCTCGCTGTTTCCAGACGGCCTTTGGAGCTAAGACTGAATGCATTTCAGCATAGATGGCCACCACAAAATTGTACATTGGCTCCCGGCCGGCCTGGGCCAGGCCCAAGGCAGCGGGGGCCATTCCCTCACTGTTTCCAGGATGACTTCGCGGGCCACATGGAACCACTTCTCAGGCCGCATCCGGCCCCCGGGCCTTGTGTTTGACATGTCTGCCTTAGATATAATCAGTGGGCTCCTCTCTGAGGAAGGGGATTGATTCATCATTCTAGGCAGCAACTGACAATTTTAAATATACACATAAGGTTGACTATTGAGAGTGGGTCAGTGGAGAGGGTGGGTTGCAGGCAGAAGAAGAGTTTCCTCCCCGTACCTGTTTGTTGGAGCAGCGGGAGCTTCTACCTGTTCGCTGTCCATCATCCAGCCATCCTTTCTGTTTGGCATTCTACCAATGGGGGAACAGATTCTATGCAGATCGCACAAGCCAAGGGAGACTTTGGTCATACCTTTTAGTCAGCCCAGGGAACAAGCAGAAGTCTACCTAAAAACATGGCTTGGTTTGGAATGTGTCATCCTGAAAATGCCCCCTCCCTTTTCAGTAAATTCCCATGGTTTTGTTGCAAAGAGTGTGTCTGTAACTTTTTCTCTCTCTTTTGTTGTCGTCATTTCCTCTATAGGTGATTCTCTGCTGGAGGCACAGAGTTACAGCTGGACACAGGGCTCATGCATACCTGAGAAATATCACACAGCCCTTCCTTCCTTCCTTCCTTCCTTCCTTCCTTCCTTCCTTCCTTCCTTCCTTCCTTTTTTTTAAACGATTGTGTTTTTTAAAAGATTTCAATAACTTGGTCATATAGCTGTAATGGTCCCATCTTATTTTTTAAGTGAAAAAACACTTTCACCCTTTTGGGTTTTGTGCTCAGACAGTAGTAGGGATTTGGCTTAGAGCACTAGGCAGATTTTAATCAGAGATGGAAAAGCCTCTGCACTCAGCTCTGAATGGCGGCCTAGATCTCACAAGCAGCAGCTGTGAGGCTGATAAAGGCCTTCAGGCAATTATCTGCCTGGTTGGATTGTGATCTCTGTCACTCCCAGCCACGCTGGACAGAGGTGATGAGAATGGTAATCTAGCATATGTGAAGGCAGACAAGCTGGGAAGGTGAGCCTAAGCCTAAAGCTAGACTACTGTAGATTCCAAGGGTGAGGCCCTGACTGAATTTCCTGCTGTGCATTCCCCTACCTTTGGCCCACTCTGTGTTACGTGTGAAAAAAGAAACAGGAATTCTACCTCCTGGTGTGCCACTCTTTGTGTTGTTCCCTAGACAATCATTAGAAGTTTCTCCTTGCCAACATGATACAGTTTACCTATTCTCCCCTCTGCTGTTGAATAGAACGGAGAGAATTTTCTGTAATATTTTACTCCTTTGGCCAGTTTTTTTTGTCCAAAGCTATCGCCCTCCAAAGTTGCTTGAGGTTTCATCTCCCCAGGTTTGCAGTCTATGTGGCCAAAAATCTGGTCAGAGGAAGGTTTCTCTAGGCCTTGTTTTCTACACTGTATGATATTTTGATAGCTGTCTACTGTTTTCTGAACCTTGTATTTGCTTTCTGATCTAGCATAACTTTTATGTATGCTGGGGCCTCTTATAGCTCCCTCCGAGCATGCATCGCAAGGCAGCAAGGATGCATACAGCAGATTTAGGGTGATAACAAGATGGACTGCATGCTCGTAAGCCCAAGACCTTGTGCAGCTGTGCTTCGCACCACAAAAGTAACACTTTTCCTCTGTTCGAGTGAAGAGACAAGGTGATTCTTGTCATGGCACTGTGCCTCACCTCAAAGCCTCATCTGGCCACTCCAACAGCTGGAAGATGAGTAGAAGAGTCTGGGAGTTTCCGCATGTGTGTGTTCGTGTGGGCAGAATACACTTCTGGCTCCTGGAACTGTCATCAAAGCAATGGGAAGCAAAGGATTTGGAGATGGGACATGTTGCTTCAGGGTGCATGGTGTAAAACCTTCATTGAAAAGAGCCAAGCTCATCTGGGAAGCTCTCAGTATGGCCCCAGTATACTCACAAGTGGGCCACCCAGTTACCAACCTGGACCTGAATAAGAGAATTTCCTCTTCTTGTGTTGTGGGGCAGGGCCCCTTTAGCTGTCTTCAGGCCCATCTCTTGGTTCCAGTTCTATTCTGCGGAATCCTGCCTCCTTATTGGTTAAGGAAAACTGGGCAGCTGTGGTCCTTTCTGAAGCCTCTCCATTCCCCTTCTAGTGGAGGTACACCCAACAGTACCATCCAGCAGTGCCTTCCGAGAACAAACCAGCATTTCTGCTGTCACACCTGCAGGCCTCCGTTGCACGTATGTGCAAAAACCCTCCCAAGAGTTGCCATGCAAGTATTACAAGATCATGAGTGCTGGGATATAATTTTTTTAAAAAAAAATATGATAAGAAGTGTTTGCAATAGCTGCTCATTTTCCCTTTCTCGTTTTAGATGTACGATCAGTGTTTTAAAATTTTAAAAGTGGAAAACCAGCAGCCCTTCCAATGATGTTGAATTACACTTTGCAGCCTTCCCCTTTGACTGGGTTGCTAGAAATGGAAGTTTGACAGCATCGGAAGGCCCACCTAATCCATTCAATATGAAATACATTCAAGGCTGTCATGTCTTAATAAAGGAACTAGTTGAACGTAGCTTAGATGAGAAATAGACTACATGTACTTGGTCGATGGCGTTTGGGGAGGGGGCTTTTCTTATATTATTGTTCGCAAAATAATCCCATCCCGGATGATGAGGTGGCTGCAATCAGGAACCGTATGAAAGTTCCAAGCAAACTGCCTGTTTGGGAGTGTCCTTAGTCCTACGTTGCTGTATCTCTGAATTGGTTTTACGTATCTGGACTACAATGCTGGACTCTGCATCCTGACTCCCCCACCTGTGAATCCTGCTTCTTTATTAAATGGGTCATCTTTGCTTGCTTTGCGAGTCCTTAATCGCTGGCTTTGCCAATGTGTTTTGTGTAATGTTTAAACCCACATGGACGCAGTCATTCGGCATCAACATTCAGAATACATTTAATAACCCTTTCTCTTGACTTACAAGACTGGGTCTTGGTCCCAAACATTGATACTACTGATTCTGCCCTGATTATAAATCCTTCTGTGATCAGAAGATTCCCTACAAAGAGCATACACTTCCAAGAGGAAGCTTATGCTAAACTCGGGCTGCGAGAAATGAAAAACGTGCAACAAAAAGCATTTGAAAGCTTCATCTGAGGGAATCTATCTAGTGATCATTGCCCAGAGTTGTCTGCTCATGATTCCCCTATTTTATATGCAGCTATTGGAAATGCAAAATTCCTTATTGCCATCTTGAAGCTCAACCAGTGCACATAGCAGCTGTCTCCTGAATGATTTCAAAAGTTGTTTAGCATTCCCCATTGATTTGGTCACACAAGTCCAAGATCAGCTGAGTATACTTTCCTGTAAAAGAAATCTACATATTCAGTGCATTTTCAAATGCTTCCTGAAAAACATGTATAGGATTAGGCTATAAAAGCTATAAGGGCAGAGCTGGGTGTGGTGTTCTGGATCATGGAACAGGAAGAGGGTGAGAAGAGTTCACTTTTTCAAGGCAATATAATTAATACAGCCCTCTCCTTTACTCTCAAATAAAGCAGGGTGAAGTCACCCAATGGCTTCTAGAAAGATCTAAACCTAGGTAATCACAGTTGCAGGTCACATATTGCTGAACTTTCAACTTACAGCTCTGATTATGATGGGTGGGACAGATGGGACTTGTAGCATCTGGAGGGTCAGGGATTATACACACACACACACACACACACACACACACACACACACACATCTTAGCCAAAAGAGCCTTGTAATTTTGTGGAGGTGGTATTAAAAATGTGTAATCCATTCACAGAAAATTTACAGGTAATCCTCATTTAGCAACAATTGGGACCAGCAGCGCTATGTAAGAACAATTAAAGCAGTGAAATGGCTTATCTCTGGAAGTTGTGAGTGCTTCATCACTGGAGGTTTTCAAGAAGAGACTGAACAGCCATTTGCCTGGAATGATATGGGGGTCTCCTGTTTGAGCAGGGGGTTGGACTAGGACCCCCATGGTCCTTTCCAACTCAGTTCTATGTTCTATCATTAAGCAAAGATCTCACTAAGTGGGAAACCAGGAGACTACAACTGCTTTTTTTTACCCCCATTCCCCACCCTTTAGAATGCTCAATTTGGCACAGTGCCAGGATAGCCAGTGCAACTGCTGCCTCACAATTTCACTGCAACTTCCCTTAAAAATTAGAGAAGAATTTCCAAGAAGGGATTTAATGTTTGTATTTACATTCATCGGAGAGCAAGGAATTACAAAAGAGTAAGCAGGCACAGAATGGGGAACACACAATGAAGCCAATGCTGTGGTTCCAACAGCTCTGAGCATATTTCACAAACAGTCCAGTGTATTTCCCATTGTGTGCCTGCCTACTCTCTTGTAATCCCTTCCTCTCCAATCTCTCCACTGCAAGGGAGGGGGAGAAAAAACACAAGTGATTTATCTAGGTAATCTCTCCTGTATCTGATGTGTTTATTTTTCTCCCCCTTCTCTCACAAAAAAGAAAGATTGGAGAGGAAAGGATTACATGAGGATCAGCAGGTATACAACAGAGAACACACTGGGCTGCTTGCACAGCATGCTATGATAAATTATGTCTATGAAGGGGGAAGTGGTATGATAGACTACAGTGAAACCTCAGTATCCCAAAAAAGAGGGAGTACATTCCAAGAAAGAGATCGAGACAACATAGCCTGGAGCTGGACTGTAAGCAGAAAAAGAGAGTTAACATAGCCACTCCCTGGAATCTCCAAAGGTGTATTCATTAGGATTATAGTAATATAGTTTAGTTTGGCAAGGTTGTATGGTGTAAGCACATAAAAAAGTGAAGTTTGACTGGATTGTTCTATGCCATTCTTGGGCTGGGCCTGATATGCTCACTAGTGTCGCCATATTCCTTTCTATTTTCCTCATGGTATGCCTGCCTACATTCTTGAAATCCTTTACTTTTCAAGCAGTTCACTTTGCAAGGGAGAAAAAAAGAAAATTCCATCTTTTATTAATGTCAAATTTTGTGAAAGGTTTTGCTTAGCGTATTACTTTATTGTTTATTCCCTGCTCATTTTGCACTGCCCTGACAGTTCTGTTTTCAAAGCCTGTTGCATAGCATATAATATCACAGCAACATTGATAACTATTATTGCTAAGAATGGAATATTATTTCAGCAATTGATCTAAAGATCCTGACTTTGCTGCTCCACACCAAATTAGCATATTAATTACTAGTATAAGCTCTCTTTTCACCTGCATATCTACCCCAGAAAACTGGCTAACATCTCTCTTAATCTCTACAATTGTATGAAATTATTAAATGTCTGTAGCAACTCAGATACTTTCCCACTAAATTCTTAAATGTTTGAATTGAATTCTATGCTCAAGCATATTTTTAAAAACATTAAGAGAAACTATGCATATAAATGAGAATCCTTGTGCAGATTTTAAAGCAAAAATTAGAAAATGAATGTAGGTGTTCAAACTTGCATGAGTATTTGGAAAAGAGCTAAAAATGGAATTGTACTGACAAGAGCTAAAAAAAAAAAAAGTTGACCCCACCTCCCTTTTCTACGAAATTTC